AGAGAGAAAAGGAAGATGGGACGCTGATTTGGAATACTTTGAAGAGGGTTTTTCTCTCTGATTTGGGATGTTGTTTGAGAGAAAGCCCTACGTATACTACTTTGTGAAGCCCTAACTGATTTTCAGAGATTTGTGAAGCCCTAACTGATTTTCAGAGACAGAAAAGCAGAGCTGAAGGATTAAGTTTGGGGAACTAATCCTATAGGTACAATTGTTTGCTTCTGTAAGTTTGCAGTTTACATTATATTGTTTGGCTTTGAAGAAAACAATGGGGATAAAAGTTTCCATTTTAGGTTTTTTTTTTGAAATAATATTTTTTTTTTCAAAAGCTTGAAAGTAGCAATGGTTGCAATGCACAAAACAGGAAAAAAAAAACGTATCTTTCAAAAAAAATTATAGGTAATAACCATTAGTTTGTGATAGCGATGCATCACAATACAGGAGTGTATCTTCTGCATACTGCAGATGGAAAACAAGCAGTCCATTTACAGAAGATGTAAATCTTGGCAGCCTGCCAGTAGCATAGACCCCATCAACCATGCTGCCAAAAGTCTCAGCTTTGTGAACAGAAATGGGGATAGTTAATCTCTGGGCTTGGTCTCTTGGAACTTTGAATATATCCTTAGGGTGAACTGTTGATAATACCATGAATTGTGCATTTGATAGAAACCCTCACAATCCAATTTTGTCATGTTCTCCCGAACCCCATAGTATTGTCAAGGTATGACTAATGTACCCTATTATGAACCACTAGTGCTCCATCAAGAATATATTGATTTATTAGAAAGGCTTCTTGTGGAGGGCTTCTTGTGGAGGTGATATAGGTTCACTCAAAACCTCCAAGATCCTTTCACTTTATCTTATAGGCACTGCATAACAAACTGATGCCCTCAGCTTCTTATTTCTCCCACACCATCTTTTTTTGGGCTAGAGCATTATGAATGAGGAATTCCTTGCACTTGCACTTTAATCCTCCCCTATCAAAAAAGGGGGAAAAAATCCCCATGTTTATTTTATTTGAAGGCCTGAATTTTCCTCCTCGATGGATCCTTCTCCATCTTATATTGTATGCAAGCCTTTACATGTGAAAATGGCTTGATTGATTGTTGAGAGTGCATGATAAAAGACAAAACGCTCAATTTTAATGAAATTGTCACATATTTCCTTTTTTCTCAAAGTAGTAGGCCTGTGGGAGGGGATAGAGTTGGAGAAGAAACTTATTGGTCCATGGAACCATCTTGGTTCTCAAGTATATGCCTTACGACTTGTGTCTTATTGCATTTTTTGGGGGCTCTTCTCGAGTGAATAAAAACTTCTTGACCAATTGTACTAGTGTCATCTGATTCTCTCTCATGTTATTCAATGCTAGGATGAGAAAACGTAAACGTTTGCAACCATAAGAGGGAATGTATCATTTGGAGACAAGCTTGATCGAGCTACTACTGTGGCAGTATTCATCAGAAAAAATGCAGTATTTTAGAAAAATAAGCAACTCCCTGTGTTATAGAAGGATGATTTTTCTCAAAGAAAGTGATGTTATGTGAAACATGATACTTTCTCCTAGTGGGCTCATTGCGCTTGTAACCCTTTCATGAAATTGAATAATGAAGAAGTAATAGACTTGATGGATCAAAGTGAGTGTCTCATCAGGAAATGGATTTAAGTTATGCGTGTTGGATTTCTTTGATGCTTATGGGCCGGCATTCCGTCTATGTAACAAATAAAATTTGGTTATTCAAAGGTTTCCTGGTCTCCTTTGTCTATTCTTTGGAATTTTACAAAATGGTTTCATCCTTGAAAGTCTAGCTATGCCCTTTGCCAGAATTATTTATTTGATTTTGAAATGCTAAAATGGGTTTGGCGGGATAATCGATTGTGACCTAAATTATTCTGACTGGGGGATCTGGAAACTGTTTTTCTTTCTGTGGATTATGTTCTTTTTATGTTTCTTGTGTTTTTGTTAAGTCCAACAAGATTACAAAGGGCAAACATGACAAATGTTGTAATGGTACAAGAAAATAATTTTAAACTTGGGGTCTTATTGTACTTCTGGCTTTTGAATGCTCAACTGTGAATGAACCCTGGTGTGCTTCATCTTGTGTGGACTATATGTTTTTATGTTTCGTTTTTTTTTTTTAGAGAAACGGTTTACTCTATATGTTTCTGTGGTTGGTTTCTTGCTTTTCAATTTGAAGTTATACATCCATATTTATTGGAAAATATCTGTGACTAGATCGGTATGTTGCCTCATAAGTTGGTTCTCTTGTACTGCTTTCTGTTCGATATCGTTCTTTTTTGTTTGAAATTGAGGAAGATGTTTTTCTATTGCTGGTTCTGTTCTTACTGAGCAGATGATGCATTACATGGATGGCTTTGCTGAAATGATTCCTTCAATGCTGATTGGACTGTCATTTCTGCTTTATACTTGAAAATCATTGTTTGTTTCCTTTCTATTATCTGTTCTGTTACTTTACCCCATGTCTAATTACTTTTTGGTACTGTTTCAACAGTTTGGTTGAGATTGACAGCACCGGCATCAGTGAAGGATGTCTGCAGACGACCTTGAGCACCTACTTCTTGAGGCAGCAGGGAGGACATCCACATCCGGAAGGAAGAAGCCTTCACAAACTCAGCCGAAGAGGAGACATGAGGGTTCCTATTCTGATGACGGAAGCGACCCCAAATACGAAAGTGAGGATGATGACGATTCCGATGGCCCTGGTTACCCGAGCCGAAAGCCCTCAGGATCTCAAGTGCCTCTCAAAAAGAGATTTGAAACTGCTGACAAGGACGACATGAGGGGAAAAGGTGACCGTGATGGTGGCAGTGATGACTCTGACAGTGGGCTTTCGGTGGGCAGCGACCTCTACAAGGATGAGAATGATAGAGAAGAGCTCTCGAGGATGACGGAGCTCGAACGGGAGATGATATTGACTGACAGAGCCGATAGACGAGATAATTTAATGAGGATGAAGAAGGCAGAGCGACAGGGTGACAAGTCTCGGTCTACTGGGAAGGAATTGATGGCTCCCCCACAAGCTCGAGGGCGCTCCTCGGCGAAGTCAGACCGTATGGCAAACAAGGATGCTTTGACTGAACTGCTTGCTAAAATGCAACGGAAGTCAAGGAATAGGAGTGAGAGGCAAGATTTGATGGTTGTGAGGAACAAGGCGGCGGCAGCAGCAAGCCCTGTGAGCGACTCGCCACCGTCAAGTGGGGTGCGCAGCAGCAGTGATGGCCGCGAGGTCTCAGTGGAGCTCGGTGAGAGTGACGAGGACGAAGGACCCACCTCGGGCTCAGAGCACCCAACCTTTGAGGACATCAAGGGCATCACAATCCGAAGGTCTCGGCTTGCCAAGTGGTTCTTAGAGCCCTTCTTCGAGGAGGCGATCGTGGGGTGCTTTGTCCGTGTGGGCATTGGGACGTCGCGGTCAGGTCAGAGCATCTACCGGCTCTGCATGGTGCGAAATGTTGATGCCTCGGACCCTGACCGGCAGTACAAGTTCGAGAACCGCACCACTCACAAGTACCTCAACTGTGTATGGGGAAGTGAGGCCTCGGCGGCAAGGTGGCAGATGGCACGGATCTCTGATTCGGCACCTCTCGAGAAGGAGTTCTTGGAGTGGGTTCGCGAGGTTGAGAGGGGCGGGGGCCGCATGCCCACAAAGCAGGATGTAATTGATAAGGGCGAGGCAATACAAAGGCTAAGCAGCAGTTTCGTGTACTCGGCTGCCACTGTGAAGCAGATGCTGCAAGAGAAGAAATCAGCATCGACAAGGCCCTCAAACATCGCTGCCGAGAAGGACAGGCTGCGCAAAGAGATGGAGCTGGCGGAGAGCCGGCTCGACCATGCTGAAGCTGAGAGGGTCAGGGCAAGGCTCCAAGAGCTCGAGAACCTCTCTCAACAAAGCAAAAAGAAGGATGCGAAGGCAGTGATGCTTGCTGAGATGAATAGGAGGAACAGGGCTGAGAACTTCAAGAATGCGTCAGAGCTCAAGCCTGTTAACACATCTCTCAAGGCAGGGGAGGCAGGGTACGACCCATTTTCGAGGAGGTGGACCAGGTCTCGAAACTACTATGTTTCGAAGCCCGAGGGAGGGGGAGAGGTTGTAAAGGAGGAGGCCGAGACGGCAGCAACGAAGGCGGCATTAGAGGCAGCTGCAGATGCAGGGAAGTTGGTAGATACAAAGGCACCGGTGGATGAGGGGACCGAGTCCCATTCGCTGCATGATTTCGAGCTACCGATATCGCTGGCAGGATTGCAGAGGTTTGGGGGGCCGCAGGGAGCGCAGCTGGCGTTCATGGCGAGGAAGCAGCGCATAGAGGCAACTATTGGGGTGCGTGTTCCCGAGAATGATGGGCGAAGGCATTCGCTGACGCTAAGTGTGAGCGATTACAAGAGGCGTAGGGGCTTGGTGTAGTACAAGGAAGGCTGGGCACAGTGTGATGGGGTTTGTTGGTGATCGGTTTCTTCATATTGAATGTGTGCGAGAACGGGGTCGGTTTGCTTTGAGGGGAAGCGTGGCGCAGTTGTGTGATGATTGTAGTTTACTTATTTGATTTAGTATTTTCGTTTTTCTATGATATCTTGTTTATGCCTTCCATGAAATGGGTGAGTTTGAATTCTGTTATTGTTTTGCAGGATTTATTGCATGCGTATGAGTTGGGGGATATGTGAGAGTACTGAGAGAAAGAGAGATGCCCATCTCTTTTTTTATTTTTTTACAACAAATAGAGCCTAGTAACCCCGCCCATAGGTCAGGCCGAGTCCGAGTAACTTGGACAGAGTTAGACAGGTCAAGGGCAAGCATTCTATGCTTTCCTTATTGCATAAACTTCCCTTTATACAACCTTCCTTTCGGAATGGTTTCAATGTAATGTTTATCCACTATTTTATTTTTAATTTTTTTTTTTATAAATTCTTTTGATACCAAATTTTGGGCATCCATCTTTCTATTAAATTCGCAGTAGTAAAAATATAAAAACAATATTTTCAATAAAATAAATGATTAAAATACCCTTGAAATTTTTAAGAGGTATTTTGGTTATAAATTATCGTTAACATACTTATATTTTAGTAAAATTAAAAAAAAAAAAAAACCCTAATTTTTCAAAACTTCATTTACATCATTTCTCACAATTTTCAGTTTTTTTTGGATCAAAATAACATTCACAGTAGTCTTTTTATCTTTAAAAATATTACGGTAATTTAAATATCGTAATAAGTTGAAGGAGTATTACAGTAATTAAAATACCGTAATACTTTAAAGTAGTATTACGGTAATTTAATTACCGTAACAACATTACGATAATTTAATTACTGTAAGTATTACAGTAATTAAAATACCTTAATACCTTAAAGTAGTATGACGGAAATTTAATTATAGTAATATTACTGTGAGTATTACAGTAATTAAAATACCTTAATACCTTAAAGTAGTATGACGGAAATTTAATTATAGTAATATTGCGCACGCCTCAGTAAAAGAACACAAGATTTTATACTCTCTCGGGAGTCTACTATTTATTTACTCCCTCGACGAAATCCATGCTAGCTGTATTTTTCAAATCTCAAATTTTTAAGATATAATCTTTACTACAATAATTTCAGCAAAAGAAATTTTCCAAGTAAATTCTTCTGTATATTAGAAAAACCTAACACTTCAAGATTGAATAGAAACTATCCAATTTTGAAAGAGCTAGATTTAAGTGACACAAAACTCACAATTCAATTCTTTCAAAAATAATTTAGTAATTTTTATGTAGTTCTCAAAATTTTAGAACAAAAACATTCTTAAATAGGTGTTTTTTGAGCGAGGGAGTAGATCTACATCGCGCTCTATGGGAATATGGAGTTTTTGAAAAATACAGGCCCGAAGAAGACTACCTCAAGAGAGGAGAGAGGTAGTCTTGATATTAACTTCGATTTGAAGCTTTTCAACCAATAGGGGTTTGGAATTGACTGGCAAAGTATTACGGTAATAAGAATACCGTAAAGACTTCCCCATACATTATGGTAATTAAATTACCGTAATAATAATTCAAACTATTACTGTAATACTCTTTGAATTTTTTACGGTGTTTTAATTACAGTAAAGCTTAAAATGTATTACGGTGAAAAGACTACTGTGAAGGTCATTTTAGTCTAAAAAAAGTTGAAATTTGTAAGAAATGGTGTTGGTGAGGTTTTGAAACGTTAGGGTTTGTTTTTTCGAATTTACTAAAATAAAGGTATATTAGCGATAATTTCCCTATATTTTATCAAAATTTTTGTTTAAATATATTTTTTTTGGTGCGCTCTGTTGAGATGATGTTACATTCCAAATTTCATATTCATATAATTTGTAGAAAAAACTAAAAATAAAATACTCTAAGACGTCATATCTTAAATCAAATGGTCAGTGGCTCACTTGATCTAAAATTAGACGGCTGGATGGGGGGAAGTTTATATATCTTCTCTCTACAAATATCCCTAATCACAAATTGATTTTTTCAAAATCTATTTTTTCACTGCTTTTATAACCCCATCTATATAGGTTTTGCTTAATGGGAAAGATTTCTAAATTTCCCCTATTGTAAAGATATTCTACACTTTCCCCAATCCACTCGTCCAATTTAGATCAAATAAATTATTGAGCTTTTTATTTTTAGTTTTTATTCTACAAATTATATGAATATACGATTTGGTATGCGCCACCATCTCAATAGGATGCACCTAAAATAAAATGACCAAAATATCCCTAAAAATTTCAGAAGTATTTTGGTCCCTTTGATTTTATCTAGAATATTTTTTTTATATTTTTTACAAGTGTGAGTTTAAGAGAGGAGTGGACATCCAAAATTTGGTGTAAAAATGTTTTTGTAGAAAAAGACTTAAAAATAAAACAATGTAGAAACGTGACATTGTAATTGGATCGATCTCAACAGCTCATTCAGAGCATAGATAATGGGAAGTATATAACTTGAATATATTAGGGGAAGTATAGAAAGCTTCTTTTTGTAAGGGGGTATTTTGGTGAGATTGTTCCAGCTAGGGTAATATATTCATCTAGCTATCCCTTCAAATAATTTTTTTCAACGGCTGATGAGCTCTGTCGGGTTACTCCAACTCGGCCATTTTAGGAGATGAGTACCGGAGTACAATTTGGGCATATTAAAAAATTGAAAATATAAAAATTATATAAATTTGTGGGATCAATGCATAAAATTATACATGGTTTCTATGAGTCACAGACTCACATGTAGTAATTCGGGCCCCTTAATTATTTTTGAAATAGAATTTAGTCCTTATTTTTAAGGAATATATAATCTTTAACATGTAGATTATTAATCTGTAAAAATAAATGAATTTTAAAAACTAAAAATGATATTTTTTTGGAAGAAATATTTAAACCGTTGATTTTACTTTTTCTTTGGAGGACTATTATTTATGGAGTAGATCCACTTTCTTTGGTGGATGCAGTAGATCTCCGAGCCCGCATAGTAAAAGGTGTGGGCTTGGACGCACCAAACAATTCTCCTTTAGATATTGTTTACAATATGAGCATTTCTTGTTCTATTTTGTATTTTCTGTTTTTATTTTTATGAAATGGTTCTAAATCTGTATTTTATATATTTTTTGCTTATTTGGATAGTTTAGTTTTTTTTTTGCTTTTAAAAACTTTATTTTTATGTTTTAACAATATTTTTTATGTTTTAAGTTCTTGGGGCTCTTTGGGCTTGTGCATTACCTGGCTGAATCAAGCTTTGACTCAGCCAATCGAGTTGCTCGGCTCGGGCCAAGGCCAAGATCGAGGCCAGAACCAAGTTTAAAACATTGTTCCTAAATACAGAGGGGGCTATTTTTGGGCCAAGCCCCTTCCAATCTGACTTGGCATGGATAGGGAAAATGGGGATGTTAGACATAATTAAGCAAACCTATGAAAAATATGATTGTTAATGGGTAGCGGGGCTTTAGGATGACAAAAAAACTGCAAAATATGAAGGCCAAGATCATCTCTTGGAAAAAAGATACTCTGGTGAAATCCCAGAGCATATAGTAGCATAATTTGCAAATAGATGATATCGATAAGTTAGAACAAGGAAATCTTTGTAATGATGAATCGGATATAACAAGGAAAATTAATCTAAGGTTCAGTTAGATGAGTGGTAAATAAAAGAAGAACTCTTTTGATTCAATAGATCGAGATCCAAGTGGGTCAGAGAGCTTGAGAGTAATACTAAATATTTTCATATGCTTACTAATTCTAGAAGAAGAAAAATAGCTTTCAAGGCATGCAGATTGCAAGGGTCTCAGAAATTAACTCCACAGAAGGACATAGTGTGCTATCATAGAAGAAATTAAGACATCGGCCATCTCTCTTTGAAAAGACAAGGCTCCTGGTCCATATGGTTTCAAACACTTGCCTTTTCCCACACCTATTAGAATACATTTGAAGAAGACATGCTCTTGATTGTTGAATACTTCTTTCGTAGAGGGACTATCAATAAAGCCATTGACTCTAGCCTTGGTTCATAAGAAACAGTCCATGCAATCACTGAACAATGTTAGACCAATTATCCTCCTAACCAGAAATCATTATGAAAGCTTTGGCTAATAGATGAGAGAGGTGCTGACAAGTCTTGTCTTAGATCCTCAGTTGGGGTTTGTGAAGGACTGACAAATCATGGGTATCTTGATTGCCCAAGGGGCCATCCACTCCAAATGTACATCAGGAGAGGTATTTTGAAAAGGCTTATAAAATGTACATCAGGAAAGGTATTTTGAAAAGGCTTATGACAGAGTTGAGTCGGAGTATTTACTGCAATATAAAAAATTGATAGGTTTTAAAGAAAGATGGAGAAAATGGATCTCGAGTTTCCTCTCCTCCACTCACTAGTTAATACTTTTTGAAGACAGATTTGTTGGCATTTTCAAAGGTGTGAGAGGAATAAGACGAGGAGACACTCTACCCCCCTTTTCTTTTCACCCTAGTAGCTGAATCTTTCAGCCTAATGATAGGTCTGTGAACTCTCATGGTCTCTCTAGAGGGTTCCCTACTTCGGCCAAAGGCCCAGTCATCTCACATCTTAATTATGATAATGATATTCTATTGTTTCTCAATGCCGAAATGGCCCAGGTGAAATGTCTTTAGCCTTTTTCTTCATAGTTATGAATTAATCTCAGGCCAAAAGATTAATGTGAGGTGGACCAAACTTATAGGGTAATTGGCTATCAGAAGGTGTCCATTCCTATGCAAACTATTTTGGCTATGATATCGACTCTCGGCATGCCAAATACTTGGGAATGCTGTTGTTGGAGGGTAGGTCGACTCGAGACATCTGGGACCCAGTTAATGAGAGATTCTAACATAAGTTGGACTCCTGAAAAGGATCGTACTCCTAAAGGCAACTTTATCTAATTTTCCTATGTACTATTTTCCTTTGCTAAGGCCCCCACTATTGTCATAAACAGATTTGAAAGGATGATGAAGAATTTTCTTGTTAGTAGTTCAAGGGATAAAAAAAAAAAAAAATTGCTTCGTTTCCTGACACTCTGTGTGCATCCAAAAGAAGCTAGGGGGTTTGGGGATAAAGGATGAAACTTGAAACATATAAATGAAGCGTTTCTAACCAAGTGGTGGAGGTGGGTGGCTACTAAGTCAACGCTTTGGAAGTTAGTTTTGCTAAAC